CCCCCGTGGCTACCTTCACTTGTACTGTTTCTTTGGACGCCACCTGGAGCGTCCATTACAGTGTTTATGAGATGAATTTGGCATTGAGTCAATGCTTCTCACACAAACGGAAAATTCACAAACTGCAGATAAACAAACAGGAAGGCACAGTCAAACAAACCAAAGGAATTGAGCAATATATACAGACATATACTAAAGGAGAGATGCAAAAATCCTTTCTTCCAGGGAGGGAACTATTTCTGTGGGCTCTGTGGGCACTGGAAAACCAGGACGTCGGCAATGTTGCTAGATTTTACGACACTTCCTCCAGCTAAAAAAATGCGCAATCCTAATGTCCCTCACTGTTTGTGGCGTAATTGTGGCGTAACTATTGACTTTTACATAATAATAATGTGAAGCAAAATTGTTCTACATTTTATTGTCTACATTTTGGTACCTTCAAACATGAAATCCATTGTGTCTTCGCAGAGCTGTGAACCCTATAAAAATGCGTTTCGCCAAAAATTGACCAACTTCCAAGGGCAATAACTCCGACACTATTCAAGATATCGACATGCATTGAACGACATAAGTAGTCCGGAGTGTGGGCTTTAAAACGATATATAGAACACTATTGTACTATTTGCCGTTCAGGAGCAGAAGATTGTTAAACACAGGCACCGTCAAAAAAAGTGCGGAAATGTGCAAAATCGCGAAGGCTGTGTTTGTGTCGTAATGGTGACGTTATTATTGATTTTTCATAACCATGATGTGAAGCAAAAATGTTTCCCATCCAATTACCTAGAGGATGGTACTTAGAAAAATGGAATACATTGATTTTTCGCAGAGTTGAGACCTTTTTCTTAACCCTATGAAAATGCGTCTTAGAAAATTCACCGACTTCCAAGGGCGATAACTCCAAAACTCTTCAAGATATCGACATGCCTTGAGCAAACTAAGTAGTCCAGAGTATGGGCTTTCCAACGGCGTATCGAACACGATTGTACTATATGCCGTTCTGGAGAAGAAGATTTTCAAAGACAGGCACCGTCAAATCGTGAAAATCGGCAAAAAAATCAGTTTTTTCAAAATAGCGGAAAATTTATTCTGCCGGCAAACTTCCACTATGAGTTGAATCGACGGGGAATGGTGATGTCTACATTGAGTGAAAATTTGGTCAATCTATCTCTTATAGTTTTTGAGTTATTCAGGTGCAAAGATTTCGACATTTTGGGTTCTCTGCCCTTACCGGAAGCCGGAAGTCGGGATTTTTTCGACTATGTATCAATTTCAGCATACAGGCTATCATCCCTGAAAGTTTCATGAAAATCGACCAAGCGGTTAGGTCAGGAGAGCTGTCACAAAAAACGTACAAATAATAAGAATAATAATAATCTGGGTAAAAACAGTAGGTCTTCCAGACTTTCGTCTGAAGACCTAACTAGGATTGCCTCCTGGGCAATACTGACGGTCTTCAGACCTCCCCATACACCCCCGTGGCTACCTTTACTTGTACCGTTTCTTTGGACGCCAGCTGGACCGTCGATTTTAACTCTCGGGGTTACGGGTGTTTGAAGTGTATTGAAGTGTATTCCTGACAATTCCAGGACACTAATTGTTTTGACTGTAGACATAAGAACAACGGAGTTGCGGCCTGTTCAAGAGGGAACTATTTCTGTAGGCACTGGAAAACCACGAAGCGGCGACTGTGGCTAGATTTTACTGGCGCTTCCAGTGAGATGAGAACTAACTGAAGGAAGCGACACTAAAATCTAGCAACACTCGCCGCTTCCTTCACTTAGTTATGTCCCAACTGAAAAAATGCGAAATCCTCATGTCCCTCACTGTTTGTGGCGTAATTGTGGCGTAACTATTGACTTTTACATAATAATAATGTGAAGCAAAATTGTTCTACATTTTATTGTCTACAGTTTGGTACCTTCAAACATGAAATCCATTGTGTCTTCGCAGAGCTGTGAACCCTTTAAAAATGCGTTTTGCCAAAAATTGACCAACTTCCAAGGGGAATAACTCCGACACTATTCAAGATATTCGACATGCATTGAACAACCTAAGTAGTCCGGAGTGTGGGCTTTAAAACGATATATAGAACACTATTGTACTATTTGCCGTTCAGGAGCAGAAGATTGTTAAACACAGGCACCGTCATAAAAGTGAGGAAATGTGCAAAATCGCGAAGGCTGTGTTTGAGTCGTAATGTGACGTTATTATTGATTTTACATAACCATGATGTGAAGCAGAAATGTGCAAAAAATGTTTCCCATTCAATTACCTAGAGGATGGTACTTAGAAAAATGGAATACATTGATTTTTCGCAGAGTTGAGACCTTTTTCTTAACCCTATGAAAATGCGTCTTAAAAAATTCACCAACTTTCAAGGGCGATAACTCCAAAACCATTCAAGATATCGACATGCCTTGAACAAATTAAGGTGTCCAGAGTATAGGCTTTCCAACGGTGTATCGAACCTGATTGTACTATATGCCGTTCTGGAGAAGAAGATTTTTAAAGACAGGCACCGTCAAAACGTGCAAATCCGCAAAAAATTCAGTTTTTCCCAAATTGCGGAAAATCTATCATGGCGGCCAACTTCCGCTATGCGTTGAGTCGCTGGAGAATGATGTTGTCTACATTGAGTGAAAATTTGGTCAATGTATCTCTTATAGTTTTTGAGTTATTCAGGTGTAAAGATTTCGACATTTTGGGTTGTCTGCCCTTACCGGAAGCCGGAAGTCGGGATTTTTTCGCCATTGTATCAATTTCAGCATACAGGCTATCATCCCTGAAAGTTTAATAAAAATCGACCAAGCGGTTAGGTCAGGGGAGCGGGTACAAAATCTGTACAAATAATAATAATAATAATAATAACTAGGATTGCCTCCAGGGCAATACTGGCGGTCTTCAGACTTCCGCCATACACCCCTCGTGGCTACCTTCACTTGTACTGTTTCTTTGGACGCCACCTGGAGCGTCCATTACAGTGTTTATGAGATGAATTTGGCATTGAGTCAATGCTTCTCACACAAACGGAAAATTCACAAACTGCAGATAAACAAACAGGAAGGCACAGTCAAACAAACCAAAGGAATTGAGCAATATATACAGACATATACTAAAGGAGAGATGCAAAAATCCTTTCTTCCAGGGAGGGAACTATTTCTGTGGGCTCTGTGGGCACTGGAAAACCAGGACGTCGGCAGTGTTGCTAGATTTTACGACACTTCCTCCAGCTAAAAAATGCGCAATCCTAATGTCCCTCACTGTTTGTGGCGTAATTGTGGCGTAACTATTGACTTTTACATAATAATAATGTGAAGCAAAATTGTTCTACATTTTATTGTCTACATTTTGGTACCTTCAAACATGAAATCCATTGTGTCGTCGCAGAGCTGTGAACCCTATAAAAATGCGTTTCGCCAAAAATTGACCAACTTCCAAGGGCAATAACTCTGACACTATTCAAGATATCGACATGCATTGAACGACATAAGTAGTCCGGAGTGTGGGCTTTAAAACGATATATAGAACACTATTGTACTATTTGCCGTTCAGGAGCAGCAGATTGTTAAACACAGGCACCGTCAAAAAAGTGCGGAAATGTGCAAAATCGCGAAGGCTGTGTTTGTGTCGTAATGGTGACGTTATTATTGATTTTTTCATAACCATGATGTGAAGCAAAAATGTTTCCCATCCAATTACCTAGAGGATGGTACTTAGAAAAATGGAATACATAGATTTTTCGCAGACTTGAGACCTTTTTCTTAACCCTATGAAAATGCGTCTTAGAAAATCACCAACTTCCAAGGGCGATAACTCCAAAACCATTCAAGATATCGACATGCCTTGAGCAAACTAAGTAGTCCAGGGTATCGGCTTTCCAACGGCGTATCGAACACGATTGTACTATATGCCGTTCTGGAGAAGAAGATTTTCAAAGACAGGCACCGTCAAAACGTGCAAATCCGCAAAAATTTCAGTTTTTCCAAAATTGCGGAAAATCTATCATGGCGGCCAACTTCCGGTATGCGTTGAGTCGCTGGAGAATGATGTTGTCTACATTGAGTGAAAATTTGGTCAATTTATCTCTTATAGTTTTTGAGTTATTCAGGTGTACAGATTTCGACATTTTGGGTTGTCTGCCCTTACCGGAAGCCCGGAAGTCGGGATTTTTTCGACTATGTATCAATTTCAGCACACAGGCTATCATCCCTGAAAGTTTCATGAAAATCCACCTAGCGGTTAGGTCAGTAGAGCTGTCACAAAAAACGTACAAATAATAATAATAATAATAATAATTCGGGTAAAAACAGTAGGTCTTCCAGACTTTCGTCTGAAGACCTAATAATAATAATATTCGGATAATAACAGTAGGTCTTCCAGACTTTCGTCTGAAGACCTAATAATATTCGGATAATAACAGTATGTCTTCCAGACTTTCGTCTGAAGACCTAATAAACTTTATTTTGTATGTTTAATGAAACAGTAAACAGTCACATAAAGGGAGATAACTCGTGATGCCTTAGTTTATGATATTTTGCCTTAGTTTATGATATTTTAAAATGATCGAATTCGAGGTATGACGGGCCGGGGTATACGGTCCATATACCCTGGCGAATCTGCCTACATGGTTTCGTATGCTTCGGCTACTGACCAATCAGAATTCGACAAATTTACGGTAACAAATATGTGTATAAAGACATGAACAGGAAGTATATATCAAACTTTTTCAGTCCCAAACACAGGAAATAACTCCAAGTGTTTTGGCATTCTACATAATTATCATATTCGCGTTGTGATTAGCAGATACTCTAAAGGATGAAATTGTTTCGTCCGCGATGTAAGCACAAGTCATGACTGTCACCAGTGTCGGGTCACATCGCGGCTCACGACTTCAGACATGGGACCAAGTCGTCCCAGGTTACAATTATCATAAAAGGACATGTTGATCATATGTAAACAATGAGTGTCAAGATATATCGTCAGTAAAATCAAATATGTACCTTTGAATCACACAATCGTCGTCTCACCGGTACCATGAACACGTGGACGAATTTCGCTGAATCCTATTTTCTGTTCGTCAAATGGTTCACGGAGTTGTCTGCCTTTCCAAACACCCGGGAAATAAGATACATTTTACAACGCTTCAAGTAGTTATGATCACAGGAGTGAGTGAGTGAGTTTGGTCTTACGCCGCACTCAGCAATATTCCAACTATATGGCGGCTGTCTATAAATAATCGAGTCTGGACCAAACAATCCAGTGATCAACAGCATGAGCATCGATCTGCTCAATTAGGAACCGATGACATGTGTCAACCCAATCAGCGAGCCTGACCACCCGATCCCGTTAGTCGCCTCTTAAGACAAGCATATATAGAATAGAATAGAATAGAATAATACTTTAATGCCTTTTCAAGAATTTGTGTTACATCAGCAGAGCTACTGACACATTAGAGAGATACCAAACATATTAACATAAATTCTTTGATTTAGGTATCTTCACATTTGTTTAAGAGAGATATGGTACTTGGAATAAAGGATGTACTGGCTCTCTGTAGCGGCGGCCTGAAGGGAGGAGGTTGTATTCCGAATTTAAGTAGTGAGTACGGTCAGATATGATTTTGACAGCTTGATCACAGGAAGTATGGATGAGTAGTTGTCATGAAGCCTTAACAGTTCCGGATAACAGTTCACATTTTAACACTCCACGACCAGTTAGTCCCTTACAGAAACAACAGACGACATCAAAAGTACCCCGCCTGTCCACGTCCTGCGAATGCAAAATTTCAGGATGTCCACGTCCTGAGAATGAACCTCCTGAACCATGTCGTTCTCCTTCCAGTCTAGGGGCGTAGCTACCATTATGAAAAAAGCCCGGGCTTACACATTATTTTGGTTAAAGATCACAATGAAAGTTTGGCAAGACCTCTATACTATCTAAATACAAAGCCTTGCAACCTATCGGGCGTACACGAAAAACTTGGCTTGCTACGCGCCTGCCTTCCATCAAGCTTTCTCTGTAATGCAGAAGCCCAAAATGAATCTCCAACCTCACAGGGGCATATTAAACTAGCTTTTGTTTTTGTTTCTATCAATTGAGACTTAATGGTTATGAAAGAGGATAATTGTGAGTGATTGAGTATGGTTTTACGCCGCTTTTAGCAATATTCCAGCAATATCAGGGCGGGGGACACCAGAAACTGGCTTCACACGAGCGTATTGTGAGGCTCATGTGAATATGTGTAATTACGTAGAAGAATGAACGTCTCACATAAGCCAGTAACGCTTACAATCTGACCGATCCACGCATGCACCAGCCCAGTTGCAACGGGAATCAAGTTTAAATGTTAACGTTATATAATAATTAATATATTTTCTCATTTCTCCTTAATGACACATTAACAGCTTGATTGAACAACAGTCATAAGGAAATGCTTCCAGTGCGTTCCAGCTTATCACAATCCCGAACATCGGTGTTCTCCCCCCACAGTGGTTAATTCTAAACTGAATTAACAATTACATGTATTGTAACATTTGAATATTCCAGGAATATGCTGAAGTGCATATTCCTGAACATTATCAATCCTTTCTTGAAACTTATTGGCCCTTACTGTAATATTTCTGATTGCATGTTATTCATCTTACTGATGTAATTACGTGCTGATTTTAAGGAAGCATTGCATCTGAATACATTTGAATGCACACCTGTATGGAGCTCGTGTTACCAATCATATGTGTGCGTGCAGCCAAATTATAAAAATACCCGATTGTTGAGTTTCTAGTTTATGTGGATGTGGGTTGTCTTGTGTGTAGAGCCCAAGGTACAAATCAGTAGAAGTTGGGCATTTTGGTCACGGCGAGTCCTCGAAAGAGTGGCCGTGTTTGTCAGCTTGACTCCTGAGAGCTTTTAGGATTTCTGTACTGCCCCCAACGAAGCACGGTGACCTTAGGCAAGCGAGTTTGTATAAAATTGCCTCAGTTCACACAGGCGGAGAATGGGTACCCGGTGGAATAAGCCATATGATTATTAACCTTCTAGCGCCACACAGGCAGCTCGGGTTATCCAGGGTAATGATGTCCATCTTGATGTGTGCTTAGAGCATACCCGTGCGAAGTGGAGTTAAGCGCTATATAAGTCGCCTATTATCATTTTGTCAGTCTTCTTAGCAAACAGTGTTGCCACGGATAACTATATTTGTTGATGTGATTCAATACTCATTGACGCAAAATGTAGCCAGATATTTGGGACGGGGACGTTTGTGATCTTAAGTCTGTTCATTATTCAATGATGGAATGGTTCAACAAAGCCGTAGACCTGCATCACGTGATCAAGTTTAGTTAATAACCAATGACAGAACTAACACGCTGTCCTAACTGGAACAAGGACCCGGGAAGATGTCAAATTGACACTCACCATTTTGTCATTTATTATATATGTCTTCAGCAACCCATGCTTGCTGTAAAAGCGACTATGCTTGTCGTAAAAGGCGACCTACGGGATCGGGTGGTCAGGCTCGCTGACTTAGTTGACACATGCCATCGGTTCCCATTTGCGCAGATCGATGCTCGTGCTGTTGATCACTGGACTGTCTGGTCCAGACTCGATTATTTATAGACCGCCGCCATATAGCTGGAATATTGCTGAGTGCACCGTAAAACTTCACTCACTCACTCAATCACTGATTCTTGAAGGATGTGACGTACGTCCCTGGTTTAGTCGGTTTCTACTAGCGAGCGAAAAGTAAATGGTCTGCTCTGGCGTTTCCATGAAGCTGAGGCTTGATTGATTTGTAGTTTAATGCCATACTCAGCAATATTCCAGCTATATAGTGGCGGCCTGTAAATAATCGAGTCTTCGTCAGACAATCCAGTGATCAACAGCATGAGCTCGATCTACGCAATACGATGACAAGTAACATGTAACGACCAAGTCTGTGAGCCTGACTGTATACCCGATCCCGTTAGTCGCCTTCAACAAGCATGGCGTGCTGAAGACCACTTCTAACCCGGATCTCACGGGTTATGTTCGAGAATGTAAATGCTGTTGTTTAAGAATACACTTTGATGCCATGTGATACTTTGATACATCGATAACGACGATGAAAATTCATGATCTTGCAGAATTACTGTAATTGATATGTCTGTCACTTTTAAACAACAAGGCAACATGCACCTATTCTACAGATTACATATTGTAATGCCCCAAGATTTTAACTGTGAGTACATAACTCGCAGATATTGCACTCAAATACACACGTACGCTTACGAATGTACAATATGTACGAATGTATTTACGTAGTGAAGAATATCACCCTTTGGAACACAACCCAGCAGCTGGATTTCCTTCCCTCCCCACCGGCTCCCAGCAGCAACATATTAACGGCTTTCATTCTGCTTGCTACGGGAAACCCGTAGTTTTCTGCATAGGACAGTAACGTCTAAAACTTTGATTTACAAACTCTTGTGCCATATCACATCGCCGTAAAACACACTTGAAACAAAATATGGCAACAACACTTTATTAAAATTGTGATTACAGTTTACAATAATTATACAGTCTTTATAATTTTGTATCATTACTAGGGAAGTCAGTTTTAGTCCCAGCACGTGTTTCTGTTCGTGACTGTGTCCGTGTGCGTGTGCATGTGCATGTGCACCCTCTGTTTAAAAACCCACCATTGTGCCCGTTCTACTTTAAGAATTCAAGAAATATTGTCCGCATGATGATTTTTGTGGAAACAAATCCCATTAGGTGAAGTGTAGCCTATGACGTAAACGCAGATCAGTTTTGAAAGACAAATATAAATCCACTGTACGAATCAACACACATATTAATAAGGATATTTTTACAGTGATCTATTTTGGTCGGCAGTGGTGATACATGCAATCACAACAATCCTATTTGAAGAGTGACAATGAGATTGGTGGCGTACTCATGGTGACCATACATTGTTTACATTCACGTTGTTTTGAGTAAAATATGATAAATTTACACAACAAAACTGCTAACTTGGATCTTCTTTTACCGAATTAAGTATAATTTGATGTAATTATGTCATATAACTGGTTAATGCTACATCCATATGAAGAAAAAATAATCTGTGTCATGGTAGAATGAAATAAAATTCAGAATCACTTGATTTCAACATGCAATTCATGAGAACCTAGAAAATATCAGGTATACATAAAGCTGAAGTACAGGTTAGGTGTGTATCCACTAGATCTAGGGACAAATATGTAATAAGAAACTGGAAGCACTGTTAATTTCACATGATGAAATGAGTTTTCAACTACATTCTAGAAGAATGATAATAATCCCACAGGGATACTCATCTTCAAACATTATAATGAAGAGTTTGACACTCAGCAACAAAGATAACACGAGTCAAAACAATTGTCTTGACAGTCATTAACGAAGCGATCAGCAAATGTGGTCATCTGGACGACACTGGTCAGAACAGGGACGTCATTGATCAGTCTTCATCAAGGTCTGGACAGTCGTTGAGGAAGTCGTCAGCGAACCTCGTCATCTGGACAAAGCTGGTCAGAGCAGGGATTGTCACGTTGTCATCAAGGACCAACTCATCCTCATAATTCTTAACCGGGTACACGTGAGAGCGAGGCAGGCCCAGCAACTCTCCCGTCTTCTCTACAACGTCTCTGATGGCAGAGCTGATAAACAACTGGGACACGTCTTTGCTGACCACCTCACACGCCTTGTCCACCTTGGTCAGCAACACCACCTGCGGCAGGCCTAACAGGGGAAAAATAATGAACAGTGGTTTTAAAGCCAAGCGATTAGAGGACAAAGATGATACACAGCATTTTTATCACGGACTTTTATCATACACACATGCGTCAGGGAACGCAGAGGAATGTTCTCTTTGAAACCTCTACATAATGTTTCAATGTTGCATAATGGATTTGCCAGTGTACTCACTTTCACTGGTACAAATCATATAGATTTGGAAATTATGTATAAATATCCTGGTATCAGTAGTTCACCTTGGACATTCACCCTGTGTTGAACTGCTTTGAACGTCTGTAGTATTTTGTCTGGGAAGACATCTATGGCAGTGCTGTCGACCACGAAGGCAATACAGTGGATTCGGTCATTCAGGGTTGGGTTCTTCTTGTACCCTGGGATGTCAGGACGAATTGGAACAGATGGGTTGAACTGAAACCATCGGATGCAAATAAAGTTGAATCGTGTTGCAGCCGTAGTACGGTTTGCTGCATGGTCTCTGCAACTTGTGTTGCAGTTGTTTGTTTGTTTGTTTGTTTGTTGTTCATCACCGCACTCCGCAATATCCCAGCATTATAATGGCGGTCTGTAACCAGGGCGGTCAAGTCTGGACCGGACAATCCGATGACTCACATTATGAACATTGATGTATGCAATTGGCATGCATGCAAACAGGAAGTAAAAAACATATCTTAGTGGAATATTTGATTTTCATAACATGACCACATTGGTTTTATCAATATTAACAGTAAGTCCTCAAACGTTACAGTATTCTAATAAACGAGCCAGTTGGGTTTGTAAGAATATTTAGCTGATTCCCCGAATCTAATGACAGGACAATGAAAACATTTACATTTGGTAATGATATGCTAAAATATGATATGCCGATGTATTAATCATTAAGAAATAACTGATATCTTCAATCGTTTTAAAGATATCTGTATTATACTTAAAGATATCATTAATAGTTTCAAGATGTCGGTAAATAATTGAAAAGATAATCCTGAAATCCAAAGTAGAAGAGATATAGTAAATATAAATAGAGATATTTTCAGTTCTGTTCGATACTGATATATAAACTAAATTAAACATATTCATATCTTTACATATATATAGTTGATGTCTATAACTTAAGTCACAGGAAAAACGGCAAACGAATATTACAGGTACATCAATGATGTCACTGACTAATGATGTAAAAGAATTTAATGCAGTATTAGTGTATAATACATGGTCTTCTAATTAATGAACGTTTCATGGAACCAGATCCATATCTGCAGACTGCCTTCATTGGAAGTGCAAATGAGATAAGATATTACCGTGAATCTGTCCGGCAAATGACCGTCGATGATCGCCATCAGGTCCGACAGATCAAGATTGAGACCGTCTTCAAGTCCCCTTGTGTCACAAAGTCGAACCTTCAAGGGCTGTCGACTGTCGGTCGATTTTATCTTGTACAAACGATACTGAAAATAAGATCAATAAAAGATATATTGATGTAATCATTTGTGAAATTATCAACTTATTTGGGTCAGGAACTGAAGTAAATGTTATTTGACAAGAAAGTCCAAATTTTGTAATTGCTTTACGTGTGTGCTTTCTCATGGATCAAAACCATTGCTCATTGAGGACTGATACTAGTTCATACATGAAGCTGCATTATTTCGTTCCAGTGAAAGATATCAGTATACTTTTACCTTTTCAGCATCTAGTCATTCTATTTACCAAATAAACATAACAAATAACTCATTGAATTAGTAGTTAGATGGGATACGTGTCAACCTACAGTAGTTGTTAGACTGTGTTCTGCACTCCCACTGCGGGCGACGGAGGTTATCCGCCCTTGGAATATAGAGTTGATGGTGTTGAAGTAGCTGGATTTGCCCGATCCAACCGCCCCCAGCAACAAGATGTTCACATGATCCAGCTTCCCCGGGGGTGAGTACGTTTCCAGTTCAGACTTCAGTACCTGTGGACACACGTTAAATCTCAATGTGTAGCAGGAAACAACAGCTGCAAGTAAACTGATAGTTACAAGTAACAGGTTGTAATTGGACATTAGAATATCTGTGGAGTGACATAACAGACACACCTTCCTGTATTAGCTAATGGCTATTTGACCGATGTATGATTACTCTTGTTCTTCTTGACTAGAACTACACCATCAGACCAAAAGCAAAGTTTCCCAAATGTCTTCAGGAATGGGTCAGTTCGTAGGAAAGGTCAATCTTTGTAACAAGTCGAAAATCCAAACCTTTTGTTTCACCTCAGGTAGCTTCCGCCACGGTGTCTCATCTTTGCGTGCAGCGTGTTCTGAAATTATTCCTCCAAATATCCTCATTTATGCATAGTATATGATATTTTACAGAACATAACATTTACTAACTGACCCTCGTGTTGAACTTGTGGTAACACTTGGTATGAAGAGGAAAATTGTAGTACAACATAAACTGGTTGGTATTGTCAGAGATAATTGTCACCTTGTTTTGACAACATTATAGCTTCTGGACTATTTCACTTTTGTATAACCTGGAGCTACATATCGTTCAGGCAATCTTGACCATTACGGCATTGAAAGCCTTAAGTGACCAGTTATCAAGACGGCATCGTTTGCTTGCCTCTATCTCTCCTCAAGTTAAAACTCTACCTTGAACAGGCAATCACTGATATCTGTACACAGCGTTCTCTTTAGCAAATGGAAAATAAAGATATAATTGTTCAATGAAAGGTTTAAGATACTGTCACCTGTAACTTGATATACTTCCACATCAGTAAACTGAAGATTGTTTCCTGTGAAGTTGGTGACATCATGTCCTTGCATGTCGTAAGTGTGGTTAAAACTCATGTGTCCATTGCCTTGGAAATAATTGCTCTGTTTGTTAATAGTTGAAGTGAAAGTGCACAGATCATGTCCTCCTCCAAAGGTAGGTCCATACTGAGCATTATGATAGACGGTATGCTGCAAATTGGCCGTCTTTACGGGATACTTTTGTGGTTGAAAACTATTCGCAGCCTGAAGCCCGAACAGGAAGGCTTGGTTGTCTGGTTTGAAGGTTCCATCACTTGACCAGCTGACCGATGTATAGCCACCGAACACATATCCAGCCGTGTTGTAGCAGACGGAGACGGTTGCTCCACTGTTGTCACACTTCTGATGGAAGGCCGGGCCGCTACATCCGTCTCTGGCTGCCTGGTACAGCAGATTGAAGTCTTTCCTCCCTCCTATCCAGGTACATAACTGATCCTTGTAAGCCTTGGTTAGTTTACTCATGACCACAGAATCTCCTCAATAACTCTAGAGAACATACAGATTTATTCATAATTAGTAGGTGTTCATGCATATACATTACATAATACAGTTGTCATATTTGTATGCGGTATATATAATATCACAGTATGTTTTTTTGTACTTGATCAAAATATGACACTGCTCAGAGAATATACAGATTTATTCATCATCAGCAGGTGTTCATGCATGTACATTCCACAAGTATTTATGTTTGTGTGCGGTATATATAATATCACACCATGATGTTTTCCACTTGATCAGAAATTGTATTCTTTCAGTTATTATAGATTTACGTTTCAAATGGCTGAATTTGCTGAAAATTCCATGGTCCCCTCAAAAATCTGTATGCCCCTATGATTATATTAAATCTAATTTAAGACTTATAGCTTGTTGTGCTGATGTAGTGTAAAACATATCCCACCTCAACCATCCCTGCGCCCCTTTCAGTACACAACCGAAACATCAGTCTCATTAACCAATTCAGTGAGTGAGTGAGTGAGTTAAGTTTTACGCCGCACTCAGCAATATTCCAGCTATATGGCGGCGGTCTGTAAATAATCGAGTCTGGACCAGACAATCCAGTGATCAACAGCATGAACATCAATCTGCGCAATTGGGAACCGATGACAAGTCTCAACCAAGTCAGCGAGCCTGACCACCCGATCCCGTTAGTCGCCTCTTACGACAAGCACAGTCGCCTTTTACAGCAAGCATGGGTTGCTGAAGACCTATTCTACCCCGGATCTTCATGGGACCATTAACTAATTCAGATAATGACCTACTTTTCGGCATATCCAAATTTTCTCGTGTGAAAGTAAAAAGAGACACCACAAACATCTATGGTTACACTGAATTTCAATCCCTAGTTTTATAAGAAAATGTTTTTCACAAATTGATTTTATTTTCAAAGTTTAAAAATATCGTATTTCTATATTTTATGTCGAGGTTTAGGCAGCATGTCGGTAACTATAAGACGTCACAGACTGCCCCTGTTGGAAGAGGTCGTACACTAATTCACAATTCATCTGGCTCACTGGTTACACCTGTTATGTGTTCTTTGCGCTTATTAAGTGTATTTTGGTAACGTACCATGTGATTGATATACCAGACCGCCAAACATTTCTAGTGGCCGAGCCTCGTTTTGAGATTTCCACTATTTCCAGATTTCCGTTTGTCAGAGCACGCTGTGCGACAGAGCTCGCTGCACGACGTGTTCGAAAGGATTAGAAGGAGAGTAGTGTTGCAATATACAAGTGATTAGATGTAGCAAATTATACTGATTAATATTTATATATCCAGTTGAATGAGCGGTCTCAAAATTCTGGACTGGTTATTGTAGTAAGTTGCGCAATAGGATGGAACCCAGTCAACAGGAAACGAGACTGTTGTGTAATCAATGTTTTGACTTGTAGCAAATGTTCAGTCCTAATTTACATTTTGTTGTGAGTGAGTTATGTTTTACGCCTCTGTTAGCAATGTTCCAGACATATCACGGCGGGGCTTTCCACAAATGAGCACCACGCATTGTACCCCTGTCGGGAATTGAACCCTTGTCTTCGGCGTGAAGAACGATCGCTTTGACCACTTGGCTACCCCACCGCCATACAATTAATGTGCACAATAAGTACCACAAGACTGTAGAGGACTATCATCACCACAACACGTCTACAGCTGAAATACATGTATGCACACGCCAGTGACTCTCAAAGGCCACGTCGATTGTACATAACACTCGTGGCGTCAGCTCAAATGGAACAACACAAGCTTGCAATGCAAGATTAGTAAGTGAATTGGGTACCTAGCACATATTATCAACAATATGAACTCGGCTTCCGCCTATATATCAGCCTGGTTCCCTGGGTCTATTGCGCCTGTGCTAACGCTCCTGGTTCCCTGGGTCTATTGCGCCTGTGCTAACGCTCCTGGTTCCCTGGGTCTATTGCGTCTGTGCTAACGCTCCTGGTTCCCTGGGTCTATTGCGTCTGTGCTAACGCTCCTGGTTCCCTGGGTCTATTGCGCCTGTGCTAACGCTCCTGGTTCCCTGGGTCTATTGCGTCTGTGCTAACGCTCCTGGTTCCCTGGGTCTATTGCGCCTGTGCTAACGCCCTGGTTCCCTGGGTCTAACGCCTGTTGCTAACGCTGGGTTCCCTGGGTCTAACGCTCCTGGTTCCCTGGGTCTATTGCGCCTGTGCTAACGCTCCTGGTTCCCTGGGTCTATTGCGCCTGTGCGCCCGCTCCTGGTTCGCCCTGGGTCTATTGCGCCTGTGCTAACGCTCCTGGTTCCCTGGGTCTATTGCGCCTGTGCTAACGCCCTGGTTCCCTGGGTCTATTGCGCCTGTGCTAACGCTCCTGGTTCCCTGGGTCTATTGCGCCTGTGCTAACGCCCTGGTTCCCTGGGTCTATTGCGCCTGTGCTAACGCCCTGGTTCCCTGGGTCTATTGCGCCTGTGCGCCCTAACGCTATTGCCTGGTTCCCTGGGTCTATTGCGTCTGTGCTAACGCTCCTGGTTCCCTGGGTCTATTGCGCCTGTGCTAACGCTCCTGGTTCCCTGGGTCTATTGCGCCTGTGCTAACGCTCCTGGTTCCCTGGGTCTATTGCGTCTGTGCTAACGCTCCTGGTTCCCTGGGTCTATTGCGTCTGTGCTAACGCTCCTGGTTCCCTGGGTCTATTGCGCCAGTGCTAACGCTCCGACACTGACCCAGGCAACCACTGCCGAATGGCGGCCTTCACTGCAGGGAAACGCGCCATACATTTACTATAGAAAAATCCGAGAACGGGTGGTTAAAATTTTTTCATAGCATTTTCATCGATACTATGGCAAAATATACGTCACCAGAACAACGGCCATCGTTACTTTCAGTGTACGAACACGTTATTTAAGCAGTTTCGAGTCACGAAAATCGTCGTAACATTGGCGATATGTAAACAATGACATACACCCTATTTTCATTTTAGTTTAACATTAGTCATAGTATGGCAACATCTGCGTGACTCTACTGGGAAGTTGATTACACATCGGGCCATTATATCTAACATTGAATGTAAACCATTCCCCACCCCATATATAGCTACAGTTTTGTATATAATAGGAAAACGGACACATTATGATATATTTGTGTATCCTCCAAAATCGACTGGAAATTTAAACTTACTACATCTGAAAAGAGCCATGCATAGTCTTAGGTGTACAGGGATAGGAAGTGTAAGATTCTTTGTTTTAAAATGCTGTTAATAGAAGGAAACAGATAAACTGTTGATAGAACCACGCCCTGCTTGTTGTAGGTTGTCAAATGATCTTTGTCTCAAAAGGCGAATAAATATCTTCACATCTTGTGCTAACCACACATATTCAAATCAGAATATTCTAAATATGAATGAGTCTAAACAGAATGTTTTTAATATGAGGAGCCATGTGGTACGGCATTGGAGAGGCAGTTTGCGTTCATCCAAATACAGTAGCCTGCACCAATACCTTATAGGGCTTGTGGTGTGCACAAGTTGGAGAGGGGTTCTGCCACATTCTAGGCCCCAAACCATAGCATTGTTTGCTGTATTGAGAAACCATTTACACATTATATTCTGTACATCTTCAATAATTTTACAATATGAGGTCCCCTATCCTTCTGCACCATTACACACTATAGGAACAATCATAGCATGAAATATCATAATTAATCTTGACATGGTTTATTTTCAACTTTCTTTTGACATCTGTACAATGCCATAAGAGCCTTTTTACTCTGTGCACCAAGAGTAGTTAGTGCTTTAGTGTTAACACAATACCAAATATCTATATAAAGACACAATTTCAAGATACACACCATAAGCTTTTTGATCCAAACTTCAAAACAACATCACTGATGGTGTGTTGAATTATGTGTGCATGCACTGGTGTCAAGTAAAATAAAGTAATGCAAACAGTCCATAGCAGCATTTAACCAAACTAGTTACTGATATCTGACTGAAAAACTGCTGATATCAGATGATTTGTATCAGATCTATTCTAATAACACCAGGGTTATCATGCTCAAAATAACCAATGTACAGCAAATGTATTCTCTGATACTGGCTTCAAGCCATAAAAACTACAGTTCTCATGACAGGTTTCATTGAAAAAATCACACTTAATTCAACAGTTCACAAATAGTAGAATGTTTATCTGTCTAAAAAGTTCTTCTTCACATATATGTTATACCAATGTATTAACAGACTGATAATACCATGTATTTTATATATTCAGTTTAGTAATATAACCTATCAAATTTATAGTTTTGAGCTGTGTATGTGCATTTTTGTATACAGATAATTTGATTAACAATGTTTTATTATAATCATAAACATTTCTGAATGATATTGGTATATATGTTAACTGTTTCATGTTGTTTTGCAGAGGCTAAATATCAGAATGATAAACCTTGTCATTAACAGCATCCATATGATCTAAACGCTTTAAATTGTAATTTCACAAGACGATCGAAAAATGTATCCGCTAAACCTACCCTGAAACGCTGGAAGACATGGGACATAATCGGCGATATTTTCGTCATCAAATTTGCAAAAAAAAGATACTAACTACAGTCAATCAATGTGGTCGTTCAGATCCATGGTTTATGTGTACGGTTTCGTGGCAATAGCGAGCTGACACGAAATATCAAAGCACATGTCGGTGATGAAAATAGGGGGTGTGTCATTGTTTACATATCGCCAGTGTGACGACGATTTTCGTGTCTCGAAACTGCTTAAATAACGTGTTCGTACACTGAAAGTAACGACGGCCGTTGTTCTGGTGACGTATATTTTGCCATAGTATCGATGAAAATGCTATGAAAAAATTTTAACCACCCGTTCTCGGATTTTTCTATAGTAAATGTATGGCGCGTCTCCCTGCAGTGAAGGCCGCCATTCGGCAGTGGTTGTCCTGGGTCAGTGTCGGAGCGTTAGCACAGGCGCAATAGTCCCAGGGAACCAGGCTGATATATAAGCGGAAGCCGAGTTCATATTGTTGATAATATGTGCTAGGTACCCAATTCACTGTGTGACCCGATGTCCCCAAATGTCGGCTCTCGCATCACGGTAGTGGACACAAGTCGTTCCCACGGTTATAATTATTCATTGAATATGACATATTATAGCAGAATTAATAATAAGAGTCAGGGTACATCGTCAGAAAAATCAAATATGTACCTTTGAATCACAAAGCGGTTGAAATCATTCGGAACAGTTTACGTGTATATCGATAGTTTCTCCGAATCATACTTTCTGTTTGTAAACTAGGTCATGGAGTTGTGTCCCTTCATGTAAACGATCCAGGAAATAAGACAACATTTTACAACACTTCAACCAGTTATTTTTTATAAGTTACTGATATCACAGATTCGTCTTTGTTTCCACGGGTTAGAGCGGACAGGGACCCTTTATTACTATTATTATGTGGGGTAATGCTGTAGAACAGCATATGGACATGAACAATGCACACTTAGGGACTGTTCACAATTGGGGTGGGGTGGGGTGGGGGTGGGGGTGGAGAAGAGTAAAGGGGAGAGAGGGGATGATCATGATTTTAAAGGGGCGGGGTCAGGTAGGGGTTTAAGGGGGAGGTAAGGGGGTCAGCAATTTTGTACACATTTACTAGGTGGGTCAGCAATTCTCTACATACTTTTTTTTTCAATTGTGCTTGAAATGTATGGGAAGGGGAGGGGGGAGGTTGTCATTGATTTTGTACATGACATGCTGGGGGGATCACTTACTTTGTACCTAAAGTTTAGGGAGGGTCATTCACATTGTACATTCTTCTCCATAAAAGTCAGCATCACCCCCACTAGCCAAAAATTATGAACGGTCCCTTATCAATAATACATAGTGGCAGCCACTGGTTCTATGACTTCGTCACCGTAACCCACAATAAAAGCACATAGTAAAGTTACTATTAATATCAACATTAACATTTAGTTATTAGTATTAATATTGGCATGAAGCTGTTATCATAAAGATCATATACTGTATATAGTGTAGTTACTATTCAGTGTCAAATGTAGCTATTAGTATTAAGTATTAATATTACTAGCTAGTATTAGTATTACTATTAGTATCTAGTTATTAATATTTGGTTGCAGAATGGGTTTTCAACGATTCCACGAGATATTAGTCACGCCATTGTTCCTATCTGACATTAGAAGAGAGGTGAATTTGGATACACAGTCATTTCTCCAGGAACACCCTAGGTGTAACGGGTTGGGTACCGTCGTACATCAGTCGATTACACTGCGTAGATTGTCCATTTTCATCTGACCGTTGCACATTTACAACCCGTCATCATTTGCAATTGTTCGACCTTTATTGAAGTATGTCTTGTGTGCTCAGTGTGTTCCTGATGTATCTAGACGAGCACGAATAACTGAGTGAGTGAATTTACCTTTGTTGTGTGTGTGCCGCTTTGCTAGCAATAGTCCAGCAATATCACGGTGGGGGGAACCCAGAAATGGGCTTCACACATTGTACCCAAGTGGGAAATCGAACCCGAGCCATGGGCATAACCAGCGAATGCTTTAACCACTAATTTTGATCGCCCCGAGACGAATAGGACAATCCGAGGACACCATACGTGACAGAACTGACTGCGTGAAAAGCTTGTTACTTTAGTTTGTGTTATCAGGGCTCGTATGGTGGCAGGGATGTTGCTGATGCATTGCTGATTACAGATGCGGCCTTGACCTCACTCAGCAAGATAGAGACTGCCCTAGTGTATGTATAAAATTACACACATATACTTCAATTGTTAAATGTGTTCGCGAAAATAATCACAATTGTTTTGCATGCAAAACACAAGATGTATGTAAACAAGACAACATGCGACTAACTTACAGATTAATGTAAAGTACCAAGATTTTATCCATCAGTACATAACTCGCAAATATAACACTCAAGTTCGCACGCACGCATGCACGCACGCACGCACGCACATAAAGACATCTTGAGAATATGTACGAATGTATTTAAGTAGCGAAAAATATATTGTATTCTCACAACGGAGGTCAGACTCCAATCGGCGGCACTGGTTCTGGAACGACCAGTTATCTCCTTTCGGAACACAAATCAGTAGCGGGATTCTGTTAAGCTATTTTAATTTCATACAATTACATTTCATACCAAATGATGAAATGTGAACTATCCCACATGGATATTTATCATCAAACATCATAATGAAGAGTTTGAAACTCATCAACAAAGATAACATGTGCCCTGATTTCGGGAACGTGTGTTATACTACATGGACAATTAGTCATTAACATGGTCTTGACAACAAATCTGGTCATCTGGACGACACTGGTCAGAGCAGGGACGTCATTGATCAATCTTCATCAAGGTCTGGACAGTCGTTGAGGAAGTCGTCAGCGAACCTCGTCATCTGGACAAGGCTGGTCAGAGCGGCGATAGTCACGTTGTCATCAAGGATTAGCTCATCCTCATAATTCTTAACCGGGTACACGTGAGAGCGAGGCAGGCCCAGCAACTCTCCCGTCTTCTCTACAACGTCTCTGATGGCAGAGCTGATAAACAACTGGGACACGTCTTTGCTGACCACCTCACACGCCTTGTCCACCTTGGTCAGCAACACCACCTGGGACAGGCCTAACGGGGAAAAATCAATGGACAATGGTTTAAAAGCCAAACGTTCAGAGGACAAAAGATAACGCATCAACTTTTGATCATAAACACATGCGTAAGGGAACGTAGGTGAATTTTCAATTTGAAACCTCACTCTCTCGCATAATGCATTTTGCATGCAGTGAAACCTGGGTTCACGTTTAATGACGTCAGTGGACCAGTGTTGTAATCACAGCATAATAGTTGTTCCTGTTACGTCACTCTCGGGGTCAAAAATATGTTATCAAGTAATAAGACCATGAGCAATACAAAATTAAAACAATACAAAAATAAGTATAGATATGTTGGTATCATCCTTCACCTTGGGCATTCACCCTGTGTTGAACTGCTTTAAACGTCTGCAGTATTTTGTCCGGGAAGACATCTATGGCAGTGCTGTCGACCACGAAGGCAATACAGTGGATTCGGTCATTCAGGGTTGGGTTCTTCTTGTACCCAGGGGTGTCAGGACGAATAGGAACAGATGGGTTGAACTGAAACAGGGAGGTGACTGTAGAAAGCAAATAAAGCTGAATTGTGTTGCAATCACTGCATGGTCCACAATAGAATTTTTGTTCTATTTGTTTGTTTGTTGTTGAACGTCACACTCCAGCAATGTTCCAGCTATATGAAGGCGGTCTGTATATTGTCGAGTCTGAACCATACAACCCAATGACTGATATCACTTGTTTTAAAACAAATGATTACGATTATGAATAGCAAAGTGAAATTGAACATAACTTGCTTTTTGTGATCAAGCATGGCATGTTACAAGTTCGTTGATTCTAATAATGGTATGAAATACATGTATACACATTCATAAATCATCTGTCTACTGCACAATAAGTATGACATACCATGCTCTGTGTAGAAATGTGTACATAACCGCGTATTATTGAAACTATGAAGCAGTGGTTTTCGGGTCTTAAAGGGGTCAATCGTTGGCAATTTTGTGATACAAATGGTATCTCTGACACGGCTAACTTATAATGATTTGGCTGCTAAAACTGATTGAATAGCACAGACCTTCGTATTTTTAGGATCGAATGTAACCTTAAAATCGTAAACGGTGAACTCTTTCTAAACAATCACACTGTTTCATCCTATATCGCAAATCAATAATATATCATAGGTGCATGCATCAAAAAATCCTTCCAATGTTTTAACATCACGTTTATTACTTCTATTCTCTTGTGTTAGTGATCTCGTGTGATGCCACTGACTCATGATGCATTAAGAAGTCAGTACAGTATTAGGGATTAATACAGTAGGGTTTGATAATTAATGAACGTTTCATGGAACCGGGGTACACATCTGCAGACTGTGGATCCTGGCGACTGCCTTCATTGAAAGTACACGACATGCTTTGACATCACATCAAAATTTACCGTGAACCTGTCTGGCAAATGACCGTCGATGATCGCCATTAGGTCCGACAGATCAAGATTGAGACCGTCTTCAAGTCCTCTTGTGTCACAAAGTCGAACTTTCAAGGGCTGTCGACTGTCGGTCGATTTTATCTTGTACAAACGATACTGAAAATATGAAGGTTATTAAAAGATATATTGATATACTCATTTGTGCAAATATCAACTTGGTCGGTTCAGGGTCTGAACTAAAGTTGTTTGACAAGAATGTCCAAATTTTGTAATTACTGTACACGAGTGCTTCCTCCTGGACCAAAACCATTGTTCATTTAGGACTGATACTAAAAGTACTACAGGAAATAGAAAAAAGAACTGGTTTTAGGCTGTTACTCTGTATCCCTAAAATTTAAACAACTGCAAAAATGTCGAAATAACCCACATCGGCCTAACTGGGCGTTCAGGGAGATGCGTAACAGGATATCAAGAAAAAAAATGTTTACCAATAGCTGCTGAAAACAATAGATCAGACTATAGATGACAATATGACGACGGACCGTCGACTCACCTGGCATGAAATGCATGTGCTGCCTACGGGCACAAGGGGTCATCTTAAAGATATTTTATGCTTTCTCATGTGTGTTAAATATGTCTCATCTATTGATTAACATCTTACGTGTCTCTCTTTCACAAAGTTTATGTTGAGATATGTAACAGAGTATGATACCCATAGAAAAACTTAAACCAGCCTTCGTATTAAATGTCTCAATGTCTCAGTGACATGACCACCCGATGATCAACAGGACAGGATAGTATTTGTAAATAGTTATGACATGCCATTTGCTTCCCCAGTCTATTTCCCCTAAAGGATTATCTTATCTCTGCTGATATCTCTATCACCCAGCCCGACCCAAACCACCGTCTGCGACACCCGTCCTGACACACCGTTTGAGACGACCCCTTCTACCTATTTCCTTTTTATAGTGATGGTGGAACTCCATGGTAGCTACATCCTTACTATTTTCAGTATTAAAGTTATTATTGTTTACGTCAGCTAACGTTTTTCGCGAAGATAAGTTTATTTTTGAAATGGGAATTAAAAAGTGTCCTTTGCAATACAGTATCGTCGCACACTAATTTGCATAAAGTCATGGTCTGTTCCAAATAAGTCGCTTGTCGCTTTGGACTTAGGAGAAAAAAACGCATTGCTCATTTCTGCACTAATCTCTCCTCAATAAAGTCCTCTTTCTACGTTTCCTATATCTCTACTACCAAGACTGTAGTTAGGCCGAACATAGTTTAACAGATATTTCACATTTTCACCTATTAACTACATAAATTGTAGATAAAATGCAAAAAAAAAATAGGTTTTTTTTCTATTTCCGACAGTACTTTTTATAGTTCTGACATGAAGCTGCATTATTACATTCCAGTGAAATATCAACATTTTTCCTTTTCCACATTTCGTCACAACAAATACCTAATAAACATAAAACATAAATAATTGAATTAGCAGTTAGATGGGCTACGTGTCAACGTACGGTAGTATGTTGGACTATGTTCTGCACTTCCGCTGCGGGCGACGGAGGTTATCCGCCCTTGGAATATAGAGTTGATGGTGTTGAAGTAGCTGGATTTGCCCGATCCAACCGCCCCCAGCAACAAGATGTTCACATGATCCAGCTTCCCCGGGGGTGAGTACGTCTCCAGTTCAGACTTCAGTACCTGTGGACACACGGTAAGGCTCAATGGGTAGCAGCAGTGGCAAATGAAATGATAGTTACACGCAACAGGTTGTTACTGAACATTGAAATCTCTGTAGAGTGACATAAAAGATATACCTTCCTGCATTATCTAATGGTTATTTGACCGATGTACAAAATACTCTTACTTCACGTGACTAGAACTACACCATCAAACCAAAAGCAAAGTTTTACAAATGTCTTCAGCGATATATCAGTTCGTACGAAAAAACAATCTTCGAAATGCAAACCTTTTGTTTCACCTCAGGTAGCTGCCGCCACGGGGTCTCATCTTGGCGTGCAGCGTGTTCTGAAATTATTCCTCCAAATATCCTCATTTATGCATAGTATATGATATTTTACAGAACATGACATTTACTAACTGACCCTCATGTTGAACTTGTAGTAACACTTGGTATGAAGAGGAAATTGTAGTACAACATAAACTGGTTGGTATTGTCAGAGATCATTGTCACCTTGTTTTGACAACATTATAGCTTCTGGACTATTTCACTTTTGTATAACCTGGAGCTACATATCGTTCAGGCAATCTTGACCATTACGGCATTGACAGCCTTAAGTGGCCAGTTACCAAGACGGCATCGTTTGCTTGCCTCTATCTCTCCTTAAGTTAAAACTCTACGCTTCATGGTAGAGTTATGGTAACAATTGGTACAGACAGTAAATTATGTTGATACTGTCAGGCATTGTTTGCCCTTAACCCTGAAAAACTGCTGGTCCACCTTCGGACCCAGAACCATACAAGTAAAAAGTGGTGGGTCCTCATCAGATCAGAATGTATAGGCCCTATAATTTAGCTAATTTCCAGCAAACCAAAAATGTGACAACTAACAAACTGAGTTAAAGAGTTTAATTTAACTCTAGTGACTGAGCTTGTTTTCATTTACAACAAAATCAACATCCATGTCGAGATCCAAGTCTTCCTCGAACATGATAGTCGTTACACTTACAGACAACAGCTGCTGATCGAGATAAACACTAGAAATTACTGAATGATATATTCGAATTAATATTAATTTCGATCGCTCCTGTCAGGGAGTAAATGAATACCATTTAGGCTTGACAACATGTTAACTTTTATGAATTATAGCTTCTGGATTATTTCACTTCAGTTCAACCTGGAGTCACATATTGTACAGAGAGGTAATGGACATACTCAAATAGACAGAAAAAAACAAAAAACAGTACGCTCTAATAGGATATCACTGGTATCAATGTTCAGGGGAAACGGAATGTAAGGAGTGACTTGTTCAAATAAAGTGTATAGGAGATTGTCACCTGTAACTTGATATACTTCCACATCAGTAAACTGTAAATTGTCTCCTGTGAATGTGGATGTACTGCCTCCTAACATGCTGTAAGAGTTTGGACTTGTGTATCCATTGCCTTGGAAGTAATTGTTCTGTTTATTAATAGTTGAACTGAAAGGGAACAGATCATGTCCTCCTCCAAAGGTAGATCCACAGTCAGGTTTATGATAAACGGTATGTTGCACATTTTCCGTTTTTATGGGATACTTTTGTGGTTGAAAACTATTCGCAGCCTGAAGCCTGAACAGGAAGGCCTGGTTGTCTGGTTTGAAGGTTTCATCACTTGACCAGCTGACCGATGTATAGCCACCGAACACATACCCAGCAGTGTTGTAGAAGACGGAGACGGTTGCTCCCCTATTGTCAAACTTCTGGTGGAAGGTCTGGCCGCTACATCCGTCTCTGGTTGCCTGGTACAGCAGATTGAAGTCCTTCCTCCCTCCCATCCAGGTACATAACTGATTCTTGTAGGACTTGGTTATTTTACTCATGACCACATAATCTCCTCAATAACTCTAGAGAACATACATTTAATTCATATTCAGTAGGTGTTCATGCATAAACATTACATCATACAGTTGTCATATTTGTGTTGGTACATATAACATCACACCATGTTTTCTACTTAATCAAAATATGACACTGTATTACTTTCAGCCATTACAGATTTTCGTTTCAAATGGCCCTGCCATATCTCAATCAGCTAGAAGAAAGTGTCATTTCCAAATGAAATATACATCAGTGCACAGACTTATTATTGTCTTTATATGGTTTTCTGAACAGAATAAACACAAACTGAATTTGTTTAATATCTAAATAGTTCCCGTCCTTTGCGTTCATATTTCTACCAAGGAGCAAAACATCCAAAGGGGCCCAAACAAGATTATAATCAGGCAAGACATCCCAATACAAGCCCTAAAGTTAAAAATTCTTTCCACATAAGCGTACGTGTCAAAACAATACAATGACGGCCTATATTTCGTTGCCTATATAGCAAGAACTGCCGAGATCCCGCATTAGAGTGAGTGAGTTTAGTTTTACGCTTTTAAAAATATTCCATTTTAGAAACTTACAAGTTCGATATCGGAAGATTATCGGATGTCACAAATGTTGTCAATCACTCCTACAATACACAAATACATGGGGACAAAAGATAAACAAGCAGTTGTCACTAAGGTGACATATATATAATCCCCCGCCGCAAATTATCAAATCAAACTTAAAGAGTAATGAAAGTGAAGGTCGTAGTTTAAGATGAAGTTAAATGTCAACAAAAACACGACCAGTCAACCTCTCTCGATATCTTGCTCTGCTCTGTAGCTGTTCAAACACACAAATAGTTTCAAAACTGACTTTGACCTTGACATAAATGTCATGGTGTATGAAATATGCAAAAAATAATAATAGAGAAATTGCTTATCAAAAACATTCAAGAGAAGTCTTGAAAGTCTGTGAAGAAAAAGTACAGTGAACCGTTCTTGAGATATCTTGCTGACAATCTTAACATACTGAAATGTTCAAAGTGTCGCTGTGACCTTGAAAATTATGTCAAGGTCACCAAACTCGACTGGGCCCTTTCCTATTCTGCGATGAACCTAGGTACCAAGTATGAAAAGAATCCAGTCAATGGTTCTTAAGATATTGCAATTCGTACGGACGGACAGACGGAGCTATATATATCCCCGCTTAGCGCTAAACGCGCGGCGGGGGATAACAAACAGTTTGATATGTGCATCAGAATTACAATTAAACAAAAGATACATTGGCCGCTGTGTCAAACAATAATCATAGTTTACACATTTACTTATCATATGATTGTGCGCATGTCAGTGAACCCGTTAGGACGTATCTCACGGAGCTCTCGCGATATAGAGCTAAAATAGGATGTTCAATCAGACATTAACGTCCGAAAAAGTACAATTAAACAAAAGATACATTGACCGCTGTGTCAAACAATAAATCTTCGGCAAGGCTCTGATATTTATAACTTTATCAACTCGTGTTGATATAATTGATATCAGTAGACACTTGGGTGAGATTCTCTATTTATAGTTTACACATTTACTTATCATATGACCACATATGGTCAATCGGTATTGTCGCAGCTATTTATGATATCATACCTGGAATTACTGATATCATGATCGAATTATTAGCTGATCCGAATTAAATTACTCATAAGAAGAAACAAATGCTTGATTTAATCAATATTGTGAAATATTTGACTGTTATCATGAAATGAATTATTGCTATTAGTCTATGAATTAACAAGAAAACACTATCATCACTATCACTATTCTCCCACCACTGGGCACATTTTTCAGTTATGAAAGTCCACATATACTAAGCAGCAAAAGAAACGTCAGTTTGGAATTTTTCTTCGCAGAAACGGATAACTGTAAACTCATTTAATGTTTTGATTGAATATTTTGACAACATCTCCAACTTTACCTGAGCAAAGACATTCCTTCCCAAACTCAGAACGGAACCCAGGAAATGGTCTCAAAAATGCAACCTGATCTCGGAGATGGTACGGTGTTCTCCATGTTTTTCATGCAACTCATACTGCACGTGCTGTTCACAAGGACCAGCCGTATAAAATGCACCCCCAAACCTGGTTGAAACATTCACATTACAACGTCAGCAGGATGCCCATTCTCACGACAGCTCAGAGGTACCAGGCGCTAGGAAGACTTGAAGCTGGCCACACTGCACAAGCCGTTGCCAATCACTTCCAGGTCAATGTTCGGACCATCTACAGGCTGCAGCAACGTTTCCGGGTCACCATCACCACAAATGATCGTCCCCGTACTGGCAGACCAAGGTTGTCCACAAGACGACAAGACCGCCATGTTGTGCTACAGCATGTACAGAATCCCTTCATCAGGCATTTGAAACAGCACGCCAGACAGTGGGAACACACGGAAGACCAATCAGTAGTAATGCAGTACGCCGACGTCTTAACAGCGGGAACCTCCATTGCCGTAGACCTTACCGTGGACCTATCCTCACCCCTCAACATCGGCGTGAACGTCTACAGTTTGCCCTACAACACCAAAACTGGCGATACAGGCAATGGAGAACTGTTCTGTTCACAGATGAGAGTCGGTGCAGATGGCAGAACAATAATATGGCGACGACTCGGCCAGCGTTACTCAGACCAATGTGTTATGGAAAGAGACCTAAGGGAAGTGCAAGCATCATGTTATGGGGTGGAATAGACCTGAACCAGAGAATGGGTCCTGTGGTGTTCCAGAACCTTGGTCCAGGGAGAGGAGGCGCATCACAGCGGTGCGCTACATCGACCAAGCTCTCAGACCTCACGTCATACCACATTTCGCATGTCACCGGAACAACATTTTCCAGCATGATAACGCCCGGGCCCATACTGCCAGACTTCCCACAGCGGAACAGTGTCAGCATTATGCAGTGGCCAGCCCTTAGTCCTGATTTAAACCCAGTTGAACATCATTGGGATGAAATTCAGAGGAGACTGAATAATGTCATACCAAGGCCGAACACAGCCGGTTTATTGCGCCAGGCCTCTCTCAGTGTGTGGTTCAAGGTGCCATGGCCTTCATCAATCGATTGGTGCTCTCCATGCATAGACGCTGTGCTGCAGATATTGCCGCTCGTGGTGGTCACACTAGATACTGAAGTCAAGAGTCTGAATGGACTGCAAACGTTCCCGTAATGTCTTGGAATTGTGCTGAGTTATTTATTGTTGTGTCAAGGTATTGTACACAAACAAAATAATTTTGGATCCGCTTATGTCCATTTCTGTAATGATTTGATTACAGCGCCTATCTAATTTTGAATTCGTAGTGACGTTTTTTTGGGCTGCTGAGTATAGTAATGGATAATATCGAAGTAAAGGTATGTTTTGGGCATAATGCCATTGGTAGATAGGTTTAGTCCAAATTTTCACAGAGTTCGGAAAAAGCCAGACAGAGCTTTCATCAGAAAAGAAAACATTATCCCAATCTTGATTTTCGTGCGCCCTACACCAGATTAAACGTCTTTCTTTTTGTCATCAATGGTGAGGGACATCCGCGATTTATCACCAAGTTAAGTTTTTGTAATTCTTGGCTAAGGGTTTTATTACATACCTGAGGATTTCCTTTATTAATAATCTCATTACTGATATTCAAAGCTTTTCAGTTTTCCCCTACTCACAATCTGACCAAGTCGCCGGCGATCCGTAGTACTGAACTTCCTTGGCATCCCTGCCCCTGTCTTGTGCTCAATCCCAACTCCTGATAGAATATTCCTTATAGTTCTGTATACTGTAGACAGAGGAATGTCATGTCTACCAGCTAACTCTATTGCATTAGTCACACCGATTTAAAATCATCTAGATCCAGCCCTCTAGTCGCGTCTGCTGTCAAATCTGCCATATAAACAAAGGAAGCTGTATGCTACACCAGGGGAGATAACTATTGATGTAGTAAGGTTCATTCTTCAGCCTACAAGAGTTGCCTCCTATACTGAGTACCTTACTACAATCATAATGTAACACCTATTTTGATACTCTATTATCAGTTTTAGGAAACAAAGATTTTCTCAATAGTTTCTGGGAAAACTGTAGGTGAAAACGGACAGTCACACCAGTGAACTAAATTGTTATGATTGAGTGAGTGAGTTTAAAGTTTACGTCACATCGGCAATATTTCAGCCATATCGTGACGACAAAAGGTTATGTACTAAGAATAAATATATTTATACTTTTTAAAAACCTGTCAGCTCAGGACAGTGTAGCAACTGAACAACAAGGGGAGTTCTATGGATATACACCTTCTTTAATATGATATGAGTGACGTTTCGGTGTAGCTACTAACACCGTTATCAAGCAAATGATGTACAATACAAATGCAAGGTATATTTATATACATAGTAAAGTTGAACAGTCTGTGAAGAAGAAAGACTCTAAATCCGCCATCTCTGACCACACCCAAGCTCATCCAGACCACAACATCCTATGGAACAGCATCAATGTACTCACCAGCAATCACACCCACTACAAGATCAGAAAG